ATTAAGCTTTAGCAATAAAACCTGGAAGCTGGTTGGTTTCTATGCAGAGCTGCACCAAATTTTGCACTCTCCAGTTTTAGTAAATCAACCCAAATGTGTCTATTGCTGTCTATGCATTCCTGTCTTGGTGACAGTCTCCCTCTCTCTGCCATTTATTGTCCTGGTATCACAGGAACAGGATGTTAGGGCAATCCCCCCAGTAGGATCACAGGACGAATATCTGTTACACTATCGAAAAAATATCTTGTGTTGAGCTAATGTTAAAGTGTTACTAAACCCACAACAGTAAAATCAGTCTGTATTTGCAGCAAAGCATGCTTGTTATACTCACTGTGGAACCTAAGGGGTTAATCCTCTGCATTTTATAAAAAGGCTGTTTGATCCTTTCTTCTCTTCCCCTCCTCTTGTTGAAATGACCACCAGATACAGACTAAATTTGTAGTCACATGCAAATGCTCAGTTTGGTGTGTATTGCTAGAGAGGTTTTTTTCTTGGGAGAGTGCATGTGATCAGCACAGGCCCAATCAGCACTGTCCAGACAGAGGTCAGGGGTTTCACATCCTCCTATAGCAGAAAGAAAACTCCCCCTACAAGCTCACAAGACTGCTCTAACTGCTGATGAGAAAAGGTATTTAGCAGTTTATATTTACTAAAATAATTGCATTTCCATGTTCTGTGTACTGTGGGAGACCTGATATAGTGAATGCAGGGTCCTGGGTTTAGTAACAATTAAAGTTTGCTTTTAGGAAGCTCACTATTGTGTATATCCAAATCTTCATGCATTGAATCTAACACATACTGTATGTATGTTGCCCTGGAATTATGTTGTGTCTTTTGCTGTACCAAAAAAAAAAAAAAAATAAGCAACAAATATAAACAAATATATTAATATACTGTAATCTAGTGGCCAACAGCATCTTTATTGAGGGCTGGTTCACCACAATTTCTGGGTTTTGGATTTGTTTCTGCGTGCATGTTTTTTTATGTGGTTTTTTTTTTATGTGTTTCAGTGTGTTTTTCCCCTCTTTTTCTTCATCTGAATTAAGGACATGTGCATTCCTGATGCACTTTGCTGCTTTCCAGATGCATTCCTTACAGAAAATATACAACACATTTTGCTTTTGTTGACTGCAAGGGAATGCATTGCACTGATGTGAACTAGGGCCATTGGAATCCATGTTAAGCACTGTCCATGCATTTTTGATGCAGAATAAAAATGCATTGGACTGCATCTGGTGTGAACCAGCCCTCAAGGAAACTTGTCAGAAGACAATATACAATATCTGCTCGTATTGGTGACCATTTCCTAAAAAGCTAGCTAACTATGATGCTGATCCAGCTGGTTTGGTCATTGATTGGAATAAGCATGCAGATTGTGAGTGCTGACTTATTCCAGGTTAGTGGCTCAAAATATTGAAACTAGAAACAGCCAATTTGTGTTTTCATAAGGTGGTTAGCAATGGCAAGTTGAAAAGCTCACTGTAGGCTTCTTTTGTGGCCCATATGGATAGACCTTAAAGGATAAGTTCACCTTTGTAGTGGCAATGGTGGGTGCAAAAACTAAAAGCAAGTCATATACAGACACACACAATCGACAGGTAGTCACACACAGGTACTTTTAACCAACATTTACATCATTACATATTCTACGCATGTGAAAGACCCTCTACCATATGAACACCTGCCTTGGCACATCATAGCATTCACCTGGCACTCCAAGAAATAACAGAATCCAACTGTAATATTCTTGCACTGTCAAAACCTCCACTTTTATTATCACACGACATACAGGAGGATATATCTCATATATAGTCATCACAATCTGCATAATAACACACAGCAATAATAATGTGAGCATTACAGCATGAAATAGACACATTATTTGACAGCGTCACAGCATAGAATTAATACATTACCAAAGCTATGTGAAGGCGGAAAGGAACAGATCCCACTGGAACCATACTGCACAGGGGGTCACAGGGAAGCCGTAAACTCGACCTATCGATGAGCCCATATAGCCTTGGCAAGAGTCCCAGCGTCAGAGCGTATCCTGTCACTAGGAGGCTCCCAATCAATCCCGTTTAAACTCCTGACTTTTAAACCATTTTCCTGGCAGCTTTCCCAAAGTGGGTGGGCGCAACACCCACTCTAGGAGGAGCTAGAAGAAAGGTTCCATGAGGATAAAAAAGTTGCGCCCATCCACCATATTGAATCAACATCGTTATCTAAAAAGTCACACTTTTGCTTCAGATCAGCTTCTTATCTACCCTAAGCTTCTTCTCATCTACCCTAAACTTAAAGATTTCTAACTTCTCAAGCAAGTAGACATCTTTAACCCCTTGACGCCTCTCGGTGTCTGGGCCTTGACACCAAGCGGCCGCATATTTACGTGCAATTAGAAAATACATATGTGCTGAGAGCGCGTGCCCTGCGTGCTCCCAACACATATGCCTATGATTCACGGAAAGGTCCCGATCTCCCCTTTCGATTGGGACCTTTTCCGATCATGTGACCGGCGTGATGGCGAATCACGGCGGTCACATGACCCTAAAACCCCGCCCGCCTCACGGCTTCTGAAACTCTTAAAGGGCCGGGAGGCGCCGGCGCTAAGAGGTTAAACAGGCTCTCATCTTCTAATGTGACATTACTAGATGTCATAAACATGGTTCAATCCCACAAACAAGTTCTTATCTTGCTATAAGCAGTCTAATGTCTTGTGACTTGATGGTGACTCTGTTCCTTTAGCCTAGAGAAATTGCATCAGTCATTTCTCATGCTGCTGGCATTTGGGCAACAATGCTTTATTGTAAAATTTACCCAAGAAACAAAGGGTCCAAGACCAACACATTTCATAGGCATTACAACCTTTCATAACATGTTACACCCATATTCAGGGTGTATCCAATGACACCAATGTCAAGGGTTATTATTGAATCCACTGACAGCAATGTCGAAGGTTACTATTACATCCACTGACACCTAGATAGAGCGTTATTATTGTGTCCACTGACAGCAATGTCGAGAGCTATTATTGCACCCACTGACAATGTTACTATAGCATCCCATGACACCTATGTCAAGGGTAATTATTGTGTGCACTGACAGCAATGTCAGGGGCTATTATTGCATCCACTGATTCCATTGTCGGGGGGGTTTATTGTCTCCACTGACACCAATGTCTGGGGTTATTATTGTGTCCACTGACACCAATGTCAAGGGTTATTATTGTGCCCACTGACACCAGTGTCGGGAGTTATTGCATCCACTGACACCAATGTCAAGGGTTATTATTGTGTCCACTGACACTAGTTTCGGGGCTATTATTGCATCCACTGATGCCAATGTTGAGAGTAATTATTATGTCCACTGACACCAATGACGGGGGCTATTAATACTTCCACTGATTCCATCAGGAGAGGAGTTCTTATTGTCCCCACTGACACCAATGTCGGGGGCTATTGTTTTGTCCACTGACACCAATGTCAAGGGTTATTATTGTGTTCACTGACGCCAATGTCAGGGGTTATTATTGTGTCCACTGACATCAATGTTAGGGGTTATTATTGCATCCACTGACACCAGTGTCAGGGGTTGTTATTGCATCCACTGACACCAGTGTCAGGGGGTTTTTATTGCATCCATTGACACCAATGTCAGGGGGTAGTTATTTCGTCCACTGACACCAATGTGAGGGGCAGTTACTGCATCCACTGACACCAATGTCAGGGTGCTATTATTGCATACACTGACACCAATGCTGGGGTTTATCATTGTGTCTACTGACACCAATGTCTGGGGTTATTATTACTTTCACTGCCATCAATGCAGGACATGCAGCAGGAATGTAATTTTTGGACGTTGAGGTGCGTTATTGCCAATTTTTTTTTAATGGGCTGCCTAATTTGACACAATGCACCTCAGTGCACAAAAATGGGCTGCTATTGTGGTCCTCTGGAAGTATCGGGGGCTGCACTTGAGGATCTCTATAATTTTCAGGTTGTCCAATACCGATGAACCACTAAACACCACTAAAGCCATACTACTGCTGGTCTCACTACCTTGGTGCTGATTTCCTGGACAAGACAGGAGACAGGACAGTATAGGATAAGGTTAAGTATGGTCATTTTTGGAGGGTCACTCCACCCAAATCTTTGAGATGGAGGAGTGTCATACTACCTAACTGTTTCCCATATGTTGTGATGAGATCTCTGGAAGTGAAATCCCAGATTTTCACATTTACCCCAGCCATTACAAGGGGGATTGACTCTCCTCGATGAGCGATCCAGTTCATTGGATGGTGCATGGAACAGGAGAAGTAGGAGCACCTCATTGTGGGCAGGAACAGAGCAAGAAAATATTGTAAGGTGATGACACTACGGGAGACATAAGAAGCTGGTGGGCGACTAAGTCCAGCAGACTGCACTTATAACTGAAATATCAATTTCGGATGGACCTACCCATTAACTGTACAGGTGGCACAAGGGACATGGTGGTGGGAGTGTGTGTAAACCCCCCCCCCCCTCTCTACTGCTGATCTATGGAATACAGTACACCAGCGTCTTAAAGGGTATGTAAGCCCTAACAGTGAACTTCTTATATTTGGTCTTGAAAGTACCTGTCAGAACTCCAGTAGGCTTGTAAGTTTCTGTGCTCTGTGCCTCTTCTGCACTGAAACCTCAAGCAGTATTGTCAGCCCTGCTGAGTTCTCTTCTGTGGACTACGGATCACCTGCAATAAAGATCACGCTCCCTGCTGATTGGAGAGCTCTAGCTTTGACCCTTCAGGGAGCAGGTTGGACCTCTGCAGAGAGAGATGCGGTTCCCAGTAGAGAGCAATAGACCTTTCTTGCAGCATGCTGGCAGGGCACAGGCTTTTCTACTCAGGCTGCAGCTGACATCTGCGACAACCTGTCTGGTTTTACACACCTTTTGTTTTTATGCATCATGTTTTTATTGAGCTGATGTAAAATAGAAGTTCAGTTTGACTTTAAGGTCAGGGGCAGGGGCGGACTGACCATTTGGAAACTCGGGCACTGCCCGAGGGCCCTGGGTCAGTAGGGGGCCCCATGAGGTGCCCCTGGTATCTTTTTTATAGGCTTTTTTGAGTTTGGGCAAGGACACAGGGGCCCCATGATCCCCTATTGCCCGGGGGCCCCATGAGTTGTCAGTCCGCCCCTGGTCAGGGGTTAAAGTGAACCTGTGGTATGCCTATAGAGGGCACTTAGATCGGTCAGGAGAAAAAAAAATGTAATCAATTGTGTAGTAGAGATTGATCGCTAAACAGAAGCCACGTAAGAATTATATTTAAAGCTACAGCTGTCCATTTCAGTGTGTTGTGTTCAGACCAGACAATAAAATCAGACTCGCACCAATTCTTCTAACACAGCGCACCACAATGCATGGTAGTGTATTGATGTGTATTGTGGCGCGCTGTAACACATGTGTTGGAGGTGCATTGGGTCAATGTGCTAGGGTATCATTGACAATGGATGACCATGCAACACACTAATGCATGTAACCTGTGTTCACATACATTGCAGTAACGCATAAAACTGTGATTTGGTGCCTAAAGCAGAGTTCCACTCACTCTGTAAAAAAATAAAAGTCAGCAGCTACAAAAACTGTAGCTGCTGACTTTTAAAAAACAGTCACTCACCTGTTCCACGATCCGACGGTACCCCCGATGCAGCCCATTTCTCCAGCCGTACTGTATTCCAGGCGCTGGCATCTTCAGTGTGGGCACCCGGCTGTGACAAAGAGAAAACAGGTGGCGCACACACCTAGTGCATTATCCAAGGTTTATTGCAAAGAGTAAAAAATAATAAAAACATACAAACGAAGCATGTATCTAAAAAGCATAGAAAAATGACGATGGCCACAACGGCAGGCAAGATGTCCTCACTGTCATCACCAGCAAGGCTCCCACTTTTCATCCATTTCACATCTGCATCAGAGGCTGGTCATTAGCTCTGAGGAAAGGGATTCATCCCCGAAACGCGTCAACCATTTGACCGCACTGACAGTGAGGACACCTTGCCTGCCGTTGTGGCCATCGTCATTTTTCTATGCTTTTTAGATACATGCTTCGTTTGTGAGTATGTTTTTATTATTTTTTACTCTTTACAATAAACCTTGGATAATGCACTAGGTGTGTGCGCCACCTGTTTTCTCTTTATCCAGTGGCTGATTTCCTCGTCTGAGGAGGGCTGCACCACTGAAGCATTTCCTTTGGTTTTTGCTGTCCTGGTTCCCTTGGCTTCCCTTTTGGCTGTGCATATCCTGAGGCGCTGGAGAGTACATACAATACCTGGCTGTAACAGCTTGCGGCTTCACAGCCAGGTGCCCACTGCGCATGCGCGAGTAGCGCTGCGCTTCCTAAATAGCCCCGTCGTCTTCTGGGACCTGTCACATGTCCCACAAGACTATGGGGAGGGAAGGGTAACTTCTGCTTCCGATTGCCTAGGCGATCGCAGCAGAAGTGGGAGAGAGTACCTGTCAATTTTGGGTACCCGCTCCTCCAAAGATGCCAATCCAGTCCAGACCAGTCTTTAAAGCGGAACTTCCCCTTTTGGGTGGAACTCCGCTTTAAGCAGCAGTTCACAGAACAATCCAATACGCAGAATCCTCCAGAACACTGACCAGCTAGCAAGCAAAATAACCAAAAGTCAAAATTTTTTTAACAATTTGTGTTCAGTATATGTTGGATACATTTGCAAATATATGTGAAGCCGCACTGCCACGTTAAGGCCCCTCTGTACAGTGCAGTCCTTATCTCTACTCCAATCTCGTTTCCAAATGTGTAAACTAGTTTTAAAAAAATGTGTTACAAAAACAGAGGTTTTGGTTGCATATATTTGCAATGAAATGTGAAATCATGTTACTTCACACCGGCCTCCAACCTCCTCTCACAGTCGGTCCAACGCATGCCTGCAGAAAAAGACTACCGGCCTCCAACCTCCCCTCACTGCCGGACCAACACATGCCTGTTAAAAAAAAAATACCAGCCTTCAACCTCCCCTCTCAGCCGGTCCAACGCACGCCTGCAGAAAAAGAATACTGACCTCCAACCTCCCCTCACAGCTGATCCAACTCACGCCTGTAGAAAAAGACTAATGGTTTCCAACCTCCCCTCATAGCCGGTCCAACACACACTTGCAGAAAAAGACTACTGGGATCCAACCTCCCCTCATAGCCAGTCCAAAACACACCTGCTGTCAGAGCCTGGGTCCGAACCTGGGCCTTCTGCAGTGAGTGGCAATGTTTCTTCTTGCTGAGCCACCTGGAATGCTGGACACCTCCCTTGACAATTATTTGGATGATCCTACCTTGACCTTGTTTATCATGAACCTTGAACCCCTTGCTTCTCCCATGAACTTTCTGATATAAGCCATGTCTCTGCACTTCCTGTTTGCCAGATTATTGTGCTGCTTACAATCTCTGTTGTTATCCGTATTTTGCTATCACTCATTATTGACTCTTGGCTTGTTCTCGGCTACACTTCTGCCTGATCCCAAACTACCTCTGCTCCTTACCGACCTTGGCTTGTTTACTGACCACGCTTTCGTTTGATCCTTACCTGTTTATACGCTACTGGACCTCTGCTTGCTCACCTCCTGGTGGGGTGATCCTGAGGACCACGACCTGGTGCTAACACGCAGCCAAATCCATCTCCACCATTAGGAGCTCTGGTGAACACCGGTTGGTACTTAGACTCCACATCTCGAGTGATCCCACTCCTCTGCCACGGTGACCTGCCTGTGTACCTATCCTGCTAGTTTCAGGTAAGCCTTTCTACTGCTATAGCAACTGGTCTTTGAGCCTGACCCCTGATTGTGACACCTGCAAAAGAGACTACCGCCCTCCATTTTCCCCTCACAGCCAGTCCAATGCACGCCTGTAGAAAAAGACTACCAGTCACCAACCTCCTCTCACAGCCGGTCCAATGCACGCTTGCATTAAAAGACTACTTGCCTCAAACCTCCCCTCACAGCTGATCCAATGCACGAATGCAGAAAAATACTACCGGCCTTCAAGCTCCCCTTACAACCAGTCCAAGGTACGCCTGTATAAAAAGACTACTGGCCTCCAACCTCCCCTCACAGATGGTCTATGGCTATTACCATACATGTGTACATATGGGACTGTGGCATGCCATCAATGTCTATGGCCATCCCTATACATGTGTGTGTATATGGAAATGTCAGCTGTCAACAATGTCTATGGGCATCCCTATAGATGTGTACATATAGGAATGTCAGCCATCATCAATGTCTATGGCTATTCCCATACATGTATACATATGGGAATGTGGCCTGCCATCAATGTCTATGACCATCCCTATACAAGTGTACATATGGAAATGTCAGCTGTCAACAATGTGTCTATGGGCATCCCTATAGATGTGTACATATGGGAATGTGGCCTGCCATCAATGTCAATGTCTATGGCCATACCCATACATGTGTACACATGGAAATGTCAGCTGTCATCAATGTCTATGACCTTTCCTATACATGTGTACATATAATCCCAGCCACGGCACCACCTGCTTGGAGTTTGTATGTTCTCCCTGTGCCTGCGTGGGTTTCCTCCGGGTACTCTGGTTTCCTCCCACACTCCAAAGACATGCTGATAGGTGAATTGGCTCCTGTTTAAATTGGCCCTAGTATGTGTATGTATGAATGTGAGTTAGGGACCTTTAGATTGTATGCCCCTTGAGGGTTAGGGACTGATGTGAATGCACAATATATATATATATTTATATATATATATATATATATATGTGTGTATGTATGTGTGTGTAAAACCGCTGCGTAAATGTGACGGCGCTATATAGGTACCTGAAATAAATAATAAATAAATATGGGAATGTGATCTGTCATCAATGTCTATGGCCATCCCTATACATGTGTACGTATGGGAATGTCAGCTGTCTTTATTGTCTATGGGTATCCCTATACATGTGTACATATGGGAATGTCAGCCGTTTATCCTTGTCTATGGACATCGCAATACATGTTTACATATGGGATTGTTAGCTGTCATCAATGTCTATGGCCATCCCTATACATGTGTGCATACGGGAATATCAGCTGTCATCAATGTCTATGGCTATCCCTATACATGTGGTACATATGGGAATGTTAGCTGTCATCAATATCTATTGCATCCCTATACATGTGTACATATGGGAATGTCAGTCGTCATCCATGGGGAAAAAGGATCCAATGAAAGGATTTCAGTTGTCCTGTATCTATCAATATCCACAATACATACCTATCCAGTCTTCTGTTTTTGGGTGCTGTCCACTGACTTTACAACCAGCACCTAAACATCAAACAACTGCTCTGAAAGCTGCGCAGAAAAGCCCGAGTCCTCTTCATTCTTGAGGTCTTCTTGGTTGGGGTATTTGCAGGCTGGTCAGTGATACTCCTTCCATAGGGGGCTTTTCTTTGGCTGGTTTCTCTTTTGGTATTTTTCGGAGAAACCACTATTTTAAGTGTAAATTGTCATTATGAAGAATAATGAAACATACTTTAACCGTTCAAGAATGATATTGCAATCAAATCAGATTAAATAAAATCAGATACAATCAAACTGCAAGCAAAAACTTGCCAGAGGAAAAAGCACGTCTGCACTGTACAAGGTACAAGCTGCAACTGACCAGACCCTGGTCAGTGCTTCCTTACCCAGGAAGGGGGAGCAGCTGATGACATCACACAGGTGCTGAGCTAAAAATAACTGATGATTTTTCTTAAAGGGGTGTCCTGATTTGTTAGCTTTATGAATCTAGGCTTTAAGCTCAGTACAGATCTAATACATCAGGATAGGAATCCTCTAAATGTTTTTTTTTTTTAAGTGATGGTTATTTTGAATGAGATTTAACCCTACAGTCCCATATAGTCCTCAATAAGATCTATATTCCCATGATAACACTGTGAATGGAGTCTTATCACGTCATATAAAGCCCTCCCTGCAGATCAAATATTTTCATTTTTTTCCCACTTATTTTTGTATTTCATCATGATTATTTAAAATATTTAATTTTTTTATGATTCTTTCAGTATTTTTTTTTTTTTGGCATCTCAAACCCACCTCTTGACTTCAGTCTGAGTTCTTTCTGAACCCAAATCCAAAACATACCTACAGTAATGACCAGTAGTGCTTGTAAATTGACACAATCAGAACTGCAGACAGGAGAGGCTGAA